AAAAGTATTGTAAAACGTATAAAAAAAAATTTTTATCAATTGGGATCGCTTGTGTAACATGGACGGTCCTACCTCGAGATCGGATCAGCAAGGGTAACACGTTTCGAAAAACGAAATGTCCCGACAAATCCGTAATTGCCCATAAGGTATCCGGGCATCAGCCAATCATATTAATTAGCCAGTTTACAATAAATGAATCGCACTACGACATTACTGCATTAACGTTAACTATAACTTTTTCTTGATCAATTAACCAAGTTTCAACTTAGCTTTGTAAATCTTAACAATACAACTTTATAAAGATGGGTGGAGGAGACTTGGTGAGTTAGATCGTGCTTAGATCTTCTCGTTATTAAGACATTTGTAATAGATTTTAACGGTTTAAAATGTTTATTACAGAACATGAAAAAATCCTGGCATCCGCTCTTGATTAAAAATCAAGAACGGGTGTGGAAGGAAGAGCAGAAGGCCTTGGAAGAACAAAAAAAATTAACTCAATTAATGAAAGAAAAAGAAGAAGAAAGACAGTTACAGGAATTGAGAAAATTGCAAGAGAGTGCTGGCGGAAAGTAAATATCGTTATTATTTAAAAGGACTACACAAATATATTTTCTTAATATACTTTTTACTAATTTTTCTTTACCGATGAAACAGAAAAGGACCAGAAAGATTAGATTGGATGTACGCAGCAGGTCCTAATCAATCTAGTTCAGCAAAAGCTCAAGAACTGGAAGATTTCTTATTGGGAAAGAAGGCTGTGAATAAACTTATTGATAATAGCTCAGCTTTGAGCAAGGTAAACTTTGCATAATTGAATTTTATAAATTTTAATATCACTTTTAAATTCCTAATTTTGTTTTTCTATTATAATAGCTCTCTGAGTCAAATGATGTTTTTACAAGTACAATGAATCCAAATGCTAATTCATATAGGGATATCCAGTCTAAAATTCGGGAGGATCCCTTATTACTTATAAAGAAAACTGAACAGGCTAATATTAAAGCTATTGTCACCAATCCTATTAAATTGAAAGAACTCAAAGAGGTATACATTGGATTTATCACTGTATAGTGCATATTATAAAGTAATTATTATTAATATGATTGAACTCTTTTTTTTTATTAGAAGTCTAAAAAAAGTAAAAAAAATAAAAGCAAAAAACATGATTCTGATTCAAAAGGCTCCAGCAAAAAACGTCATAAAAAATCATCCGATGATAATAGAGTTGATGATTTTGATTCAAAAGGCTCCAGCAAAAAACGCCATAAAAAATCATTCGATGATAATAGAGTTTATAATAATAGGGTTGATAATAATAGAGTTGATGATGATAATATAAGAAAGCAAAAACTACAACAAATGTTGAATGATGCCAAAAAACTTAAAGATGAACGTAAGAAACGTGTAGATGACATCAATAGGGAAGAAAGGGAGGAAGAAATTAAAACTGCTGAGCATAAAAAGCGAACATATGAAAGCGGTGTGTATTCAGAATACCTAAAGTAAGTATCTATCTAATCATATTTTTGAATTTTCGAATTATCAATAAGTGAAAATCAAATGTTTATATCTGCTTTTCTAATTATTTGCGAGGCTAATTAACCACATTGTCGTTTTTAAAAATAGAAATGCTTACAAAGATGCATATTCATCTAATTCATCATTTGACTTGGGCGAACGAGTACGAAGACATCGTGGTACATTACAGAAAGCCGTTGAGTGAACTATTTATTTCAGTAGCTAGTCGTTATCAATTTATCATAATAATTTTTGATGTAATGAGAATTAAAATAAATTTATTTACGAAATTAAAAGTTAAAGAAAAAAACTTTTTATAAAGAGAGGTTCCAAAAATTTTCGCATGCTTTAAGCTTTTAAGTGGCATTTCTGTCCATTTTTTTGTTACAGTAAATATTAAATTATATACGGAGGTGAAATTTTATAAGCTGAAGCCTCAATTATCTTTAGAATATGGAGAGATTTTGTTTATATCAATATATAGTGTTTTAAACGAGTATAGGTTGAAGATTTAAATACAAATAAACTTAAAAGGAATATTTTGATCAGACAAGGCTTAAAATTGATTAGCATAATAAAATTGTTTATAAAACATTGACTAGTGCAGAAAAATTTGTATCTTAAAAATTTTTTAATTTTGATTTAAGTGATAATCTTTAGTAATATTATTTTATAAATAACATTTTTAATAGTTCTTTTTATTCGTACGAGAATATGAGTAAAGATGCTAAATAAGCACGATGATTTCATTTATCCGTTTGAATAGTTGATCTATGGTTTGTATAGTTCAGATCAATTCGTACGTACGCATTTAGCTACTGAATGTAAAAATTATGATAATAAAAACAATTAACGTTAATTTATATATATATTAGATTTCGACATTGCTTGCGGCTTTATTTTCGCTGAAAAATCGATGT